GAGTAGCTAAGCCGAGACAAGGAGAGGATAAACAGGAATTTACGAATTTCTGAACTGGAGCCGCGAGTGCAGCCCGGGAGATAGAGGATTTAGTCACGCCCCGTATCTTTGGGATCGTGCCACGCGCCTGACCCACAAATCTATCTCCAATCAAAACATCGACACGTGTATGAACTCGCAGAGTATTAATAGATAGAAGTGCGGGTGTCATGTGCAGCTAAAGTATTTCGAAAATTCTATCGATGACATTATCGCTGTATAACGTAGATATATCCTAATGTAGCACGCGAGGGGGTCTCATTCAGCGGATTAAATTTTGTCATTTTTTTTTTCAAGAAAAATTGAAATTGGAAAACGTCACGATGCTCGGAGACGACGACCGCGTAAGTGTACTCGTTGACAATTGAATATGCTCTTTCTACTCTCGACACAGGTGTCTGGAGTGTAATGAAATTTACGTGCACGTCAGTCGCTCGGAGTGAGAACACTATACGACGACGACGTTGAAGCGGCCGCATGCAAAAGCCCCGAGTGCTAGAACAGTCCATTATCGAGCCGCGCTTCATTGGAAATTATCGAGTATATAGCCCGAGAGCAGCGGCAGCATCAGCAGCTCGACCGACGACGACGACGACGACGACGCTTATTGAAATTCTTTTGAAACAAATTATTATATCGAATGCTGCTGCCGTCGGGCCGAGCTTTACATACAGCGCAGGGCCGGGTTGTCGTCGTCGCTTACTCTCTCTGCTACTCTACTCGGCAAAGTCGAGGCTATTGTATCACTGTATAGCATTATGTACAGAGCGAGAGAGAGTACGTGTATATAGAAAGACGGCCACGCGCGTGGCTCGTTCTCACATTGTGCAGCGTTGTATTATATATCGCCTTGGCTTTGCTTTACTTTAGAAAACTGGATGTACCAGGTTATAACAATGTCGCAGAGATCGACGCGAGGCCTATATACACAAAAGATTAATCCTAATTATTGATCAGTTTTTCCCGACAACTCCAGCGACGAGAAAGAGGAGAGAGAGGGTCGATCGAGTAAGAGGAGTGTCGAGTACGTTGCCTCGAGAAATTTTTTCCTCCGGATATGTGTGAGTGACAGCCGACAGGGACAAGAAGAAGATGAGCGCGCGAGGAAGGGATGTAGTTGTTGCTAATCACTAATCAGAGTATCGATACCTTGAAAAAGTAGAGAAAAATAATAAAGGAGAGCCAAGAGTTCTGGTTTAAGCAGCGAGTCGCGCGCGAAAGTAAGAGAGAGAGAGGAAATCGATCCAGCCACATTATCGGCCAGATGAATCTGGATGGAGCACGTGTGTTTGCATGTTATATATATATAGGTACTCCAAACACAGTTGGCACACGAGGGGGGCTCTATATACATATAGGCGCGCCTTGGATATACAGGCGAGAGAGAAACGCGTGCGCGAATCGCAGGGATATAGATTCATATACACAACCCGGGTAAAAGAAGCCCAATCGCGGAGCTGGTGCGTGCAGTACGATAAATGTGCGTTATATATATTAGTCGCGCATCGAAGGTCGCGCGCGCGCGCGCCAAAACGACGACACCTCGGTACATTTCGTACACAATACCTACACTCGTGCATATTGCAGAGAGCTATAATACACGGGTAGAGTACGGGCAATGGAGCACGCGCTCGAGTCGTCGTGCTGGGGGTAGCTGTGGCGCGTGGACGTCCACCGAGTGTCCTCTGTCCGTCAAACGCGACACAGCTCGAGTCTATTAGCCCTGTATAACGCGCGACATAGGGAGAGAGCAGAGCAGAGCAGAGCAGAGCAGAGCAAGTGGCAAGAGCAGGCCACCACGCGACACGTCGACTACTCTACTCGGCTCGGCTCGAGCGATGTTACGACGACGGACGACGGCAAAACTACTCTGCAGGCGAGGGCACATTAGGTACGGTCGAACGAAGCGGGTCAGCGATCGATTACGCGTGTACACGGCAGTAGCAGCAGCAGCAGCACGACATGCCTACATTGTACACACACGCGTTTAGCGCACGCAAAGAGAGCTGCTGCCTAATACGTAGCGAGGCAAACGCAATTGCGCCAGCAAAAAAAAGCTCGTATACTTTTTTTTATCTTTCTCTCCGTGTGCACGAGGACGATCGCAATTTTGCAAAAAACGACGACTACTCGTCTCCCACGAACGACGACGAGTGCGTGCAGACTCGCTCGCATCACCAGCCAATCGATACACGATGATGCCGCCGCGATATAGACTTGGCACGTTCGACCAATGTCTACGTGTGCATGTGTGTGTGTGTGCAGTCCAAGTCGAGTCACTCTCTCTCGAGTTTCGAGCTTCGAGCTTTCTCGCGTCAACGAAAGTCACTCTTGGGAGGACGGCACCGAGAGCTGTGCAGTTGAGAGGTTAAGGGTAGCTCGGCCTGCGATTGGTCGAACGTTGTGCTCGAACGAGCTGTTCAGAGTCGGTGTTGTGTATAGTGCTGGATCGTCCGAACTTTTGCCTGATCTTACCTGCTGCTTTGCTTGGCTCTTGATTATTAGCTGCCACAAAGACGACTACGACGTCTTGAATAAGTGTGGAGCTGTCACGAGCCTGCACTCGAGGACACGCCAGCAGACTCGTTCATCGCAGCTGAGGACGACGACGACGACGAAGATTGGATCCACGCGCACTTGTATACTTGTAAACTGACTCTACTACAGCATCGACCGTAATTATCAACTCGCTTATTATTCGACAACAACACCCCCGAAACGAGTACGCGTATTATAAATAACTAAGCAGAGAGCGAGAGAAGAGTGAGGTAGCGACTGGCGAGGTCGTCGTCGCCGAGGGTTGCTGCTGCTGCTGCTTGTATTTCTCTCTCTCTATGCTTGCCTGCCTGTGCTGCAGGTTGGCTCTCTCGCCAGTCGAGCTGCTGAGCTTGCGCGTACTGCTGCTAGCACTTCTCGTTGGCTCTTTTGCCTATATGTACACATGCACGAGAACACACTCTGATACACATACACAGCTTCTACTATAGAGATCACACGTAGAAACACCAGCACTACTGGTACTATTGCCGCCTGCTGCTGCCAGTGCTGCCCAGTCTTTCTCTGTACCTACGGAGCTATTACGCGATCCCGAAGGCCGTCGTCGTTGCTCGCAGTCGCACAACCGTGTCACATCTATACTAGCATCCCCCTGCCCTGCCGCTGCTGCTGCCTCTGCACAACACAACCTGCCTGCACCGACACACACACACACACACACACACACACACACACACACACACACACACGCTCGCAATTACCCGATATATAGGTATATTGCGATCCGCTGTGTGTATCATACTACGTGTACTGCTCTCGGGAGGAGGGTGGCGGCGCGGGAGGCACTGACTGTGGATGTATATAGTACACTACGAGGCGGCGCGCGCGGATATCGACCCGTTTCGCGGGTCGCAATATCGTATCGCACCGCAGTAGCAGTGCTAGACGGCGGCCGTTGGCTGACTCTTGCAGCAGCAGCTCCACTTTGGTGCGGATGGCACGACAGGCAGTACTGTATACAGCACGAGGAGAGATCGTCGGCGCACGCGACGACGAGTACTCGCATACTCGTAATATAGAGTCGCCCGGTGCGCTCGTCCCCGCGGCAACTGCACCCGAATCACACGGACGCACTTTTCTCTTATCGCTCGCAAACACGTGCGTTTCGCGCGCGGGTGTTATTGCGCGGCGCGCGCCAAGAGAGAAATCTGTCTGATCGACGGTGAGTTTGCGGGGGGCTAGTGTGCGCTGGGTGCAAGCTGCGAGTCGTCATCCCTCTCATCGACCGTTATACCTTCGCTCGAAGTAGTCGAATGTTCCTTTCGAAACGAAAATTCAACAAAGTTTATCCTCTTCTAAGAATACTTGACGAAAAGCTCCAAAGCTACTTTTTACGTTCTAATTAGGGACTGCTTCAAAATTTTGTAGCGCAAGTCCTTACGCATTTCGTAATTAAAAAATGTACCCGACCAGGTTTGTGCAGAATACTCTTTTATAAAATAATGTATTTTGTGAAAAATTAATGTGAAGAAAATGAGCAGTGAAAATGTTATCTAATGTGCTGCTTTGATATCCAAAATTCTCCTCTTTCAAATCTCAATATAATTCCAAATAAAGAATCTTAACACACAGATAATAACCGTGGTAGATTGCTCAAGTCACTTTTAACTCGACAAACTTACAGGCTTTCGTGAAAGCGTCGTTTGAAAATTTTAGAACGCGTCAACTTTAATCTTTTACGCATATCGTCATTCGAAATTCGCGTGGGGTCGCTTCGAAAAAGCTTCGCTGCAGCCGGACCAACGGCTCTCTGCAATACGTTAAAACGCACGGGGTAGAAAATCTACCCTACCGGCGGGGGTTGCTAGCTCGAAGGGCGCGGGTGGCTGTGGGTGCACAGTCTAGCACGCGCAAGGGGTGCGCTGCGTGGAAAAAGCTCTCCGAGTACCAGCAGATCCGCTGCTCTTACGCTGGGGCCCCCTCTCCGATTACACTCGGATATATATACGTTCTCGCATATATGCACGAGTCAAACTACACACATAAGAGCGAGTATAAATCGCTAATATAATACAAGCGTCGAGTCGATCGGTGTGTGTGTGTGTGTGTGCTTTTCTGCGCGGAGACAGGAGAGGCTCGTCGCTTCCGATCTGCTATACTTGTAGTGGGGGATCAAAGTCAGGGGAAGTCGAGCAGTACTTTGCTTCTCAGACGCCGTATACCTCTACTACTACTATAGCGAGCGAGCGTCGCGACGGCGCACCGGCGACGCGCGAATACACATATACGAAACGAGTGTGTGCGAACATGTGCCCTGCGTGTGCTGTGCTTGTGAGAGTACTCATAGAGTAGTGTATATCACAAGCGTAAGAGAGAGAGAGGAGAGGAGAGCAAGTTTTGGGATTTGGCGCACAGCCTTGGGGCCTTGGCTCGAGGTGTAGATGATGATAGTCGTCGGCGGCTAGCGAGACCTGCAAGTAAAGCACATGAGAGAGCGCGACACACCACGCGTGTCTCTCACTCTCTCTACTCTGCACAGACTGCTTAAAAAGTTTACATATACACAAACGCACTCGCGCGCGCACACACGTATTGGCACGCGCTAGTGTTGGTTAGTGGCTCTCCGCGCTGGACTGTATATAGTCTGCACTCTACTCCGTGTGTGCCGCATAGTGCCGAGTGCGCCTCGCACGCAATTCGCGCGCAGTCTCGCACACACACATACACACTCACACAGAAGCGCCCGCGTTAAAGAGGGAGTCCAATAGAGAAACACCTAAACAGCGGATCGCGCACACAGACAGCAGCGGCAGCAGAGCATTTGAATGCAGCGGCGGCCTCGCCACTCGCACAGTCAGAGTTCGGCACTACTCGGCGTCAAGACCGGCCTGCATCCTACGGACAGTATCGTCCGGGCAGTGGCTCGCGCACCACACACACACACTATATATATCCAGCGGCACATTTCGCTCCAACTGCAACGACAGGCCCAGCGACGACGTTCTGTTTTTTGTCGTTGCGCCACTACTACTACTACTACCGCAACAACAACGAGGCTTTTTAATTAAGCTCTCGCATTCGCAGACACTGCTGCAGCCGCAACTCTTTACTTGGAGGTTAGAGTTTATTATCAATTCTAATCGCAGTTTTTGCCTAATTGTAAACAAGTGCGACTCATCGTCGATCCATTACGATATATACAAAGTGTGTTCTGTCCCCCGCAACGGGTTGTGTGGATTTTTTCGTTTTTTTTCTTGCAACGAAGCAGCAGCAGTTTCAACGGCAGCAGTTGAGCTTCTTCGTGATCGTGTTGTCGCGCGTCGTCGGTCAGTGTCTCTTCGCGGTCGCCAACTGATATATCTACGCACATCGTATGCGCCTTGATTCGCTCCAAGAACTGTTTGTCATTGTTTTAACGATCATTGCGCGTACACGACTCGTGCGTAATTCGCGTATAAACTCGCGTACGCGAGATATATTTCCAGTGCTTTGCCTCTCACGAATGTACATGTACTCCGTTTCGTCGTCGTCGTCGTGTGTGTGCGCCTGGTTTTAATGACTATTCGCCGAATTTAAAATACCGCAGCTTGTTCCTGGTAACGTATGATTATTGCATATTTTTTATACGTATTACGCATAACACGCACATAATAATAAAAACGGTCCAGTTCTTCCTTTGAATTTACCAACTTCGGTGTCATCGACATCTGCGACACGCCGGTGCGTGTTATTTTCTTACTCTTTTTTTTTCGCCTATTCGCTGCTCCGTTTTTTTTTTTGCTGTTGTTTGTTTTTTTTTTCTTGCTCGTTTTTGTTTTTCTACACTCGACTCGTTGCATACGGTCGACTCGTAAGCGTAGCATAGAATCGATAAAAAGTATCCTTTAATTGACAGCAGTCCAGATTCCAGATTACGTAAGTGCATCGTATAGCGCACACATAGAGAGCTCGAGCGAAAGCACACGTATATGTGTGTGCCTGCCATATCTATATAGATACAGAATAAGCGTCAGCAGCAGCAGCAGCAGTCGCAGTTGGTGCGAAATGTTTCTCGTTCTGTGCGCTGACGCTGCTGCTGCCGCTACTGCTGCAACTAACTCTTACAATACTCATTTACTTTAACGAACGTATGTACATTTGAGCTTTTTTAACAGTGCGCAGTGTTTTTCGCGCGACTTGCATGTGCATGTGTGTGTTTATGTGCGTGTGCGACCGCGTTTCAAACTCGTGTGCGTGTATAATAAACGTGGTGCTCGTTGCCGGCCGTCAGTCAGTCGGTCGGTCGGTCGGTCGTGCGAGCGAAGAGATGCGTAGCACAAGTGCGTACGTACGTCTGCTAATATTTCGGCGATGATGCACGCGCACGATTATAAATTATCGATGCAGAAACTCCGCGTATACGGATGTCGTATTCCGCGTAAAATCGCGAGCAGCAGCAGCAGCGAGACGCGTGTGTACCTATATAGTCATATATACAGTACGCGGTATATAGATGTGTAGCGCGAGAGACGACGACGACACGAGTGTTGGTGCAGCCGCGAGCACAAAATCGATAGTTGGCATTCGGTAGGCTTCGTTCTCTCGCTCGCTCGCGACGCGCTTCTGTATAATCCGTATATTGAGAGAGTCTCGCGCGAGCACGAGAGAGAAGAGCCATTATCTTTCTTGGATTCCTCCGTCTATTCTCCAAATCCGTACTGTATAGTTAGGCTTAATTTCGCTCGATTCCGTTTATACGATCGCGTCGCGCCACGCAGTAGTATCACAGTGTCGTCTCTCTGCACTGCACGCCTCTCTACTCGCTGCTACTGTGTTGTTGTTGTTGTTGAATGTCGTTGTTTATGTTTCGCGTCGTGTTCAGTGTACCCCCTTCTTTCTCTCCCATCGAAAAAGGTTGTGTAGCTCGTGCGTGCGAAAATTCGTGTGTGTACCTGCAGCCACGCGAAACGCACACGACGATATAATGCGCGTGTCCGAGTCGCACCGCGTAACAAGTGACCCGTGCAGCAACTCGCACGGCCTGTCAATCTGACGCTCTCGTCGACGTGATTCGCGTTAAAGCCTCGTATTATATGTATACCAGAGGGTTCTAGATCATTCACTCGTTGCTCGGCGATTGTTTTATTTTTTCCTCGAGTTTTTCCTTCCTGTATATGTACGGAAGAGAAGGGTACGGCTACAAAACGCCCCGAATAAAAATCGATAAATCTCATAAAACCTTAATTAATCCGCCGCCGCCGCCGCCTCATCATCGAGTAGAGAGTAATTGACTATATATTTATATCGCGTTGCGCGCGTACAGAGAGGGGCTCGCGGGGCACGCGTATATAGTGTTCGGTGCACCGAGACTCTACGACGATTTTAAATAGATCTCGAAATAGACGACGCTAGGCAGCTTATACGAGTCCGCGTCTCTGGCTCAAAACTACGCAGTAACGCAGTAGTGGTAATGGTAGCAGGGCCACCTCCTGCGGGGGTGGGAGATGATCAATCGCGCGGAAAAGTACTTTCCTATTAACGAACGTATACATTATATTATTGTACACACGACGCACGTTAATATACTCGAAGCTATAATTATTACGAGGCAATTGACGATGGGGCGATATAGATTCGCGAGCTCGCGCGAGAGCGAGATTACACACATCGTACGTATATATATATATGTATATAATACGAGCGAATATATATACATGACGATATAATCGAGGAGAAAAGATGATGCTGCTTCTGCCGGCTCGAAGAACATAGTGGGAGATGTGGAGGAGAGCAACGAACTTGTGTATGTGCAATGCATATAATATGCCCGCGACGTCGCCGCCATTGGTCTTTCGCGCGCGCTATCCGCGCACTTTATATTATATGCTCGCGCTCTGCACCTTGGACACGATTTTTCGCGATCGGACTGCGATGTGATATTGTGTGTATATATATAGGTAACGGCCGATGACGATGCGCGATTGACTTCTCTCTCTCTCACTCTCTCGTCGATTGTGTACACATACACGACGCGTCGCGTCGCGCACTCACCTCAACTGCACACGCTTAAATACTTTATATACTTTAAACTTGTCATTCAACTTGTCTCTCAACTTAAATACTCGTATATGTATTTGTGTGTGTAGGTCGTTTCGCACTGTTGCTTTTTCGTTTCGCTATATAGTTGTTAACGCCACATATTATGATGATAACGTGTTATATGTACGAAATTGTCCGATATCTCGTTTCCTTCTGCCTTCGTACGAGTAACTCGTACGAGCTTATTACAAATCGTGAAGCGGCGGCCAGCGCAATTTTTATTCCCAAATAATGATGTCTCTTCGGTGTTATAAAAAAAAACATTCGAGCCCACGGATAGTTTGATCAATACGTCTTGCACAGACCTCTTTCTGGCTTCATCGGAGCCATTTTCCTCCTCCTTACTTTCTTTGTTGTTTCTCTCTTTCTCGCGCGCGCGCGCGCGAGTGAGCGAACGAGCGGCGCCCAAGTAACCCAAGATACGTGATTAAAACTACTAATGACCCCGGAGCATGAGATTTTTCGTCGATAGCATCGACGCAGTGTATGAAATTCCGACTTTAACCGACCGAGTCGTTCTCGGATAAACCGAGAACAGTTGCAATATTTTTAATCAGTCGAATTATAATTAAATAATTAAATGTTAGTTGTTGAATATAATTTTCATTTATTTCACAATCAACTTTTAATGATTAATTACTCTTCGGGGTAATGAATTATTACATTTTAATCATTAATTACACTCTAAGTTAATTAATAATTAAATTTTAATTACGACTGTGCGGAATTTTCAACTACTATTTCATTAAAAAAAAGGATTCAAAAGTCCAATTCCAATTAATAATTAATTTGATATTTAATTAATTTCTTTAATTAAGTATTTTCAACCCTGCTTGTTACTGGCTCGAACGCGCTAGCACTCGCTGCGGAAAAGCGAAATAAATGAAAAAAGTAATTTTTTTCTCTCCCTTCTCTCTCTCCTCGTCGATAATCGTCGTCGTCGTCGTCGCATGTGCGCGCCTGTCCGTGTATAGAAGCACGAGTACAAGTCAACACCAATACTCTCATTTTTCTCGGCGCAACTCTTGTATTTACTCGAGATAAAATAACACAAGGAGTACGTCGGTGACAACGGCGGCAGCTGCGACGACGACGATGCAACCCGCGCTTAATCGATTATCCGCACAGGCCTTCATTTATACGTCCGCTATTAAATTGGCCTTTTATTATAATTGTCACGCCGATACATGTATATACGCGCGTGTAATGTCGAGAATGTGGCATGCGTAATATACGCCGGAGTCTTAATGTACATTTAATACGGTTCCTTTCCATTTTTATACACATAATAAAATATAATACGAGTACTTAGCGAACGTGTGTGTACGCAAAGAGAGCGAATTCTTATCATCGGTTACACACCAGCAACTGCCTCGGAAAAAAAAAAAATAATAATATAAATATATTATATCGTTCAAGCCGATTGTGGCATTTTATTCCCGCAGTTCCTTCTCGCCTCTGTATATCTTATCGATATATTTTCACGAGGCAGAAAAGCCTCTCGGGGCTCCTCATGTTCGCTCGTTCGACCAACGAAATTGCGATGATTCGGCCAATTGCTCCGAAAATTCTCTGCGTCAGTGCAGTTTACCGTGTACATACACAGGTATACGACCCAATGCGTCAATGATTTTTCCCGTTCGGACCGCACGCAGCATCATCGGCATCGCGTCGGTTCATTTAACATACACTCTCTATACAAACAGAGAGAGGTCCGAGTCGATGACTCAGCCCCGGCCCGATCGATCGGCGGCTCTCTACTATACGAGCACAATTGCAAACTGCGGCTGCGAAGCGGTAACGAGACGCAGCAGCAGCAGCATAAGCACGCGGCACGTTGTTTGTGCGTGCGCCAATGAATGGAGCAGTAATGCGCGCACCGCTTACGGGATTCCCTTTTTCCGGAGCCCCGAAAACGTATACACACAGATACATACACGGTAAATGCGAAAAGGCACGAAAAAAAAAAGACAAAGGATCGGCAGCACATCGGGGGCATTTATATACCTTGTACCGTTATACGTGGAAAACGTCACTT